TAGCCTTATTTACCACAAGAGTTAAAATATTTTGGAAAATAAGAACTCAAAGCTTGTATGATTCATAAATCAATTCATCCTGTTATGTAGTACATAATAAAAAATAATAAAAAACACATTAAATATAAATAAAACTCTTATACTTTAACTTACAGAAAGTATAAGAAGAATTACAATATTTTCTTTGTTGGTACTTTCTTCCTACCTATTAAAGAAGTTAGCAAAACTTACTAGTTTAAAACGCATTTTTGAAAATGGTCTATTAAATTAGTATTTGATTTCAATTAATTATTCTTTTCGTTGAGATAAAAATGTCACTGTAATGAGCGGGATTCGAACCCACGATCTTCAGCTAAATACGCCGCTGCTCTACCACTTGAGCTATCGTCACGTCGATCCACTCGGACTCCAACTTCCCATCTCAACCCCACCTTTTGAATTTTCCCTCTTTTTTGCCAATTTTCAATATTTATAAATTAATATTTGAAATTGTGTTTAATCGTATGACATTCACAAAGAATGATTAAAGTTTACTAGTAGCCTCACTTATTCGAAAAATTTTACTCTGATCTCTTTTTTACCTTGATCGCTGACTAATTGCGAGTTTTATACTGCATTAAAATTCAGGAATTTATAACGCCCGAGCAGTAAAAAGTAAGAGAAGAAAAAAATCCCCCTTCTCGAGCTTTTAATGACGCGAGTTCAAATTTTTACGGCACGACTCCTCAGAACGGTTGTTTACGACAGTTTCGAAAACCGGGCGGTTAAAAATCCCAACCGCCACCAATTTCCGAACCTCATTTCCTCTTTTATTAATGGAATAGCGTCGTTCCTGTGCCACATGGACCGTCTCCTCAGGAGAGGAAGTGATAACAGGAAGACGCCCGCCTGTCCCTGGCCACCCTTCACCAGTCAGAGTAATTGATCAATTTACCGTCATAAAAGAACAATGAAAGAATTTCACGGCACCAATATGCTGTGTTAACTGAGACTATTTGTTCTAATAAGCGGTTAAACGATCAACTGCCCACCGGTGACTGAATCCAATTAAGTTTAATTATTATTCGATAATAATTGGAATATGACATAAAGTGGCCATTCAACACTAGCCACACATTGAACTGCGATGCAAAGATTCATCTACTAGTATAAAAGCAAGAGATACTGGAAGAAAAACCAAGGGTTATCGCGTTCTAATACATGTTTAGAATACGTGTTTTCATTCAACGCAGCGATAACCTATTTTGGTTGATCTGTGTCATGTTTTCGATCGTTAGAATATTTAGAACTTTATTTAGAAATCGTGAGATGTGGTCTGGTGTGATGTAGGTTTCAGAAAAATATTTTCGTTATCGTGCCAACGTTTCGATCTTTATTGAGATCATCTTCGGGCACTCTCGACACGACACGCAAGAATGGCACAATTACACAGAAGACAAACACGTTGATCCCTGAAGATGATCTCAACAAAGATCGAAACGTTGGCACGATAACGAAAATATTTTTCTGAAACCTACATCACACCAGACCGCATCTCACGATTTCTAAATAAATATTGATTAACGGTCACTAATCACCACACATATTTAGAGCAGTTGGCAGAGCAGGTGCTGACGCATCGATGTGCTAATTCGATTGATATGGCCAGGTAGTTAGCTTCTTGGAAATTTAGATGGACTGGGTTTAAACTAACTGCTTTGGTTCTTAAAATCAGGTAGTTATATCGTTCGAATCTTTGTAAGGACAGGGTTTACACGCAGCGATAAACTGCTTAAGTTGTTAGAACCAGATAGTTTCAAGTTCCTATATTTCTAGTGGTTGCAAAAGACAGGACCCTAATGCGCGATATATTCTTTAGACAAGTTTACATCATTAGTTCAAAGATGATATTGAACTGCAAAACAAAATTAAACGTATTAGGTATGTAGAACCAAGTCAGCCACTTCTGGGTCTCAGGACATGTGGGAGTAGAAGGCAACGAGAAAGCGGACACCCCTGCATGAAAAGGCGACCCGAACCCTTCTGTGGCATATGTACCTACACTATCAAAGAACACCTCAGACAGAAGGATAAAAAGAAAGTGAGAACAATGGAACTCACTCTCTGGACACAAACAATCCAAGAACCTTTTAACAAATTTCGTAAGGAAGTAATGGAATGTATCAAAGGAAGCAGGAAAAAACTGCGAATCCAAAACACTGCAAACTAAACGGACATTTAAAGAAGATTGCTATAGCCCAAGAAGGCACTTGCAGATTTTGCAAATCTAGCAGAGTAGACACCGACATACCTTTAACCTTTTGTGGTGCTACACATGCCCCCCAGGAGGAAGTGCTTTGGGACATACATGTGACCGTAGAAGAAATTCAACCACTGAAACCGGGCCTACTAATTTGAAATAGAAGCTATAGGCACAGAACGAAGGATACAACAGCTCTTAAAGTGGGCAGTACATTACACTGACTAATTCATCTACATCTACAGACAAGGTTTTAACGTATCGATGAACTTTTTTGGTTATTAATCTCACGTTGTTCACTCATTCAAATATTTACAACTTCGGGAAACAAACGGATAAAACCAGGTAGTTTCAACGTTCCTACATTTACAGCGAATAGAAGGACAAGGTTTTAACGCAGCGATGAACTGTTCAGATTCATCACGAAACCAGGAAGTTCGAACGTTCTCATATTTTCAACGGCTAGAAGCATAAGACTTTAAAGCACTATAAACTGCTTTGGTTAATAGAACCTCGTAGTTCCAATAGTTACAATACTTTAACCAAGCGATACACTGCTTTGTTGTATAACCGAGTAGTTCCAACGTTCCCGTATTTCTAACTGTTCAAAGGACAAGACTTGAATACTGCTTTGATTATTAAGAGCTTGTTCGAATATTTCGAAGGCCAAGATTTTAACATAGCGATTAATTGTTCGGGTTGTTAGATCCTGGAAATTCCAAAGTCCAGCTAGAAGCATAAGACTTTAAAGAAGTGATACACTGCTTTGGTTGTTATAACCAAGTAGTTCCCACATTCCTATATTTCCAATAATTAGAAAACAAGCCCTTAACGCAGGAACCACCACTTTGACTGATAGCACAAGGGTTATTTTCTAATGTAATAGTTTTTAATTCAGTTTCACACATACCTTTTTTAAACTGAATTTGGCGTAGTCAGCACAACTAAAAGTACTGCCATAAATTGCCTCTAATTGACCCAAAAAATACGCTATTTTTACAAAAATTCATTGCTCTTTTGCATTTTATAAAAACGACCTTGATTTTTAATTATCGCAGTATCATTTACTTTGTATAATTGATCGGTACAGTTTTGTTTTCCTCGAGAAAGTGCCAGGAAAGGAATGCAAACCGGTCTGAGCAACGCCCAAAATTTGAAAAATAATTACACATTTTCAGTTGTATAATTAATTTTTCAGTTTCACACCTACCTTTTTTAAACTGAATTTGGCGTAATCAGCACAACCAAAAGTACTGCCATAAATTGCCTCTAATTGACCCAAAAAATACGCTATTTTTACAAAAACAAAAAACATCTTGTAAAATAAAAAAGAAACAGGCATATAAAAAACTAGACAAGGCTATATAGTATAGAAAATCATCTACATTTCCTCAGATCCTTCATGCACATATTTTTATTTCTTTTATTTCTATGTTTCAGGGGGGATAAAGAATAACAAGATGTTTTTTATTTTTGCAAAATCAATTTATTTCACAAAAAAAACAAAAATACAAAATTGGCACAAGTCGGTTACAAATATCCGACCGACCATATAATTTTAATGAACAATGGTTTTTTACTTCCTTTTTTGTTTAATCTATTAAATTTATGACACATTAATTCCTAAAAAATGCTCTTTTTTTATAAAGGCTGCCCTTATTTCTTAAGAGTTACAAATATGCTAGTAATATAAACAATAATATACAAAGATTATATTTTACTGCACTGACAACTAAGAATAAAATATGTTCAACTGAACTTTTTTTTAAACTTTTGTTTTAATCAATATTGTATCCTAAACGTTTTTTATTCGATCCTAGATTACAGCGTTGATAATTTCCCAGAAACTAAAAACTACAATTTTCTATTTATTTCTATTATCTATTTTCGTTTCTTTTCTCTAACTTCTGGAATTAAAATAAAAACGGGGAAAAATATTTATAGAGTTTTTTAAGTTTTCTCTTTTCACTTCTTGCAAAGATTGCAGAGGATTTTTATTTATTTTCTCATTTTGTTGTAATTGTAAATTTTTTTTGTAATATTAAACGTTTAAGACTAGCAACGAACTTACAGCACGTTCAAACAGCCACTCCGGGAAATAATAATAAGAAGATTGAAAAAATAAAATTAAGTATAATAATTTTTAACAAAAAATACTATTGCGCAATATTTTTTGTTGGTTTTACTAATATGCAATTTCTATAAATGGTAATTTTGGGTTAACAAAAGTCCACGTTTAATTGAATAGTTCCATAAAACTGTGAGTATTTTCTGGTTGAAATATTTGTAATTTAAATTTCGCAAATAATTATGTAATTAAATATGCAATAAAACTTCTAATCTTAAATTTTCCTCTTGTCCTTTTTTACATGAGGCACGATAAATCATAAAGTAGCTATTAAAATAGTCGGAATGTGATATGACAAAACTTTTGAAGTTTGTAATTTATGCCTTTTCAAATTTTAATCTGGTATAAATGTGGCACGATTCATAAAAATCATGATCACGTTTTATCACATGTATAATTATACTCATTTTTATCACATAAAAAGTCCGCAAAGAAAATAATATATATTTAAAAAATAATTATAAAGCCACCCTCAGTCTGAACGTGCTGGTGGCACAACTCGAACCCCGGTACGATTCTCGTACGAATTTTGCCCACGGTCCCCCCGAAGCGACTGTTCCTAAACGTCGGTGGCTTTATTTCAGTTGATGAAAATCTTGACCATATCCCCTTGGCCGGAATAAACGACAGTACCTGGACTAGGTTTGACTAAAGTCGAGGTGCTCCCCAGGCCGGGAAGCTTCTTCCAAAAGCTGTGCGGGGACTTCTTTTTTATAGAGGAATTCGGCCTTCCTAGACTGTTGGTCCCTGTCGAGCTGCTTGAAAAGCCGGAATCGACGGAACAGGCAGCAGGTGACATGAGAGCTTCCGTCGTCAACTCCGACTGCGGCGGTGTCGGCATCAGCATCGCCTCCATGGAAAGGTTCAGCTCGTCGAGAACCTAAAATCAAGAAAAGAAACTATTAGTTATTGAATGATTTCAATATCCGAGTTAAACATTTCTTAGAACAAAGAAAAATATGTGTGAGGTGTTTAGTGATCGTTAGTTGATGATTATTTGGAGATCGTGAGATGCTCACGTATAGGTTTAGAAAAACAGTTTCTTTATCGTGCCAACGTTTCGATCTTTATTGAGATCATCTTCAGAGCTCCAAGTGTTTATTTTCTGTGTAGATGTTGAGAGTGCACAACGACACACATGAATGTCACATCTACACAGAAAACAAACACTTTGAGCTCTGAAGATGATCTCAATAAGGACCGAAACGTTCGCACAATAAAGAAAATGTTTTTCTAAAACCTACGTCACACCAGACCACATCTGACGATCTCCAAATAATGTTTAATAATAATAATTAGATAATTTTATTTCTTCTTTGATTTCATGTTTAAATACAGTTTTGGATAAATTAATAAATGACTGCGCATGAACAATCATTAAAATAACCTTACCATTCCACCGATCTTTTTCTCATTTTTGGCTGGTTTACCATTTTAATTTCATTGCTCTTTTGCATTTTATAAACGACCTTGATTTTTAATTATCGCAGTATCATTTAATTAGTATAATTGATCGGTACAGTTTTGTTTTCCTCGAGAATGTGCTAGGAAAGGAATGCAAACCGGTCTGAGCAACGCCCAAAATTTGAAAAATAATTACACATTTTCAGTTGTATAATAACGACACGATAGCAATTATGGAAAAAGTATAAATACAAAAACGGAACAGTGATAAATTTGAAGACCTGTCAAAACCATACACAAAAATATATAAAACACTATACATAAACAACATACTAGATACTATATATAAAAAATTAAAAGATGTTAGTTGTTGATTTAAACAAAATGTATCAATTGAAAAAATATGGAACAGTTTTCATTCTATCCAAAAACCTTTACATTTTTTATATTGATCATGAAAAATTATGTATTTTCAGTGCAGAATCATTCAGTGAAAATACGTAACATGTAGACATTGCGATTATTGTTAAGAAATCGCCAGGATTGTAATGTCGTAACTGTACGTTAGAACGTGTAAACTGTCAAACACTTACAAATAATGGTTGTGTTATTAGGAGCAATAGACGAAATGCAGGCTAAAACACAGCCAGAGATGATCATTAATGATCTCTCATCCTGAACATGTCAAAATTTAATGATGTTTGAAATGCAACACATGAAGAAGAGTATAAGCTTTGAGTTTTCTTTTTTATTATTTCTTTCAAAAAGAAAGGTCATAACAAACAAAACTTCATTCCTGAAGTAAAAATGGGATTGACATATATTTTTGGGACCTATGGTATTTGTGTAAAAAAGAACTTGTGAAGAAGAATGTTTAAAAAATATTCTTATTTCGTAATAAAACAATAAAAAATAGAAATTGATAGCAAACCTCGAAAAGGCGGATGTAGGAACGTAAGAATTTACAGCTCGCTCACCTTTCGGTGTAAACAAAAGAGATCCGCATGGATTAGCCGGAGAGGGCAAAATCCACGGCATAACTGGCAATCATGGCTCAAATTCTCCCCCCCTTTCTAGAAAACAATCAATAAACACATTTCGACGAGGTAAAACATTTCCGATTCTATTCGAGTCCGGCTTTTTCATTAAAAATTAAATAAACAGAGTTTCCTCCGCCTCCCACGCTTGATTACGCGTGTTTAAACAGGGCGCCAAATACAAATTTCCTCTTTTCGGGGGGGGGGGGGTTTATCTTCGGGAAAAATCAACACTACCGGGGTTTTTATTTTTACCAGATCCTTTCTTATTGACCGTTTCGATTAATACTATTTGGTAGAAAGCGTATTTACACAATAAACGCTAGGAACTTGAAAACCTATAAGGATATTGGATAATGTTTGTATGTGTAAAGTTCGCGTTTTTTTAAGTTTTACATTTCTAAAACTGTGTCTTAAAATGCAATAAAAACTTAATGGGAAATGTATATCAATTATTTCTTTAGGTGATGTTTTAAAAAGGCTTCTTAATTAAATTTGAATTGAAAAAAGATCTTACAAGCAATAACTGTAAAAAAAGATATGATCCCATAAACACATACAGTGACTCACAGATTCGTTCACAGCTGAATGCAAATTGGGTTATATCATTATTTACTTTTCAAAATAATTGTAGTGCATCAAATAAACGTAGTTTATTTAATAATTTTAATAATTCAGAGTGAGGTGCGGTAACGAGTTCTCCGAAATCAGGCCAATACAAGCCGGTGTCCCACAAGGGAGTATCCTTGGTCCTATCCTTTATACCATCTATACTGCTGATCTACCTACTCACCCAAATACCATCATTACCACCTACGCGGATGATACCGCAATTTTGTCCTCTAACTTGAATCCTACCCAAGCTACCTCTAATATCCAAGAACACCTTGAGCTCATCGAAGGTTGGTGCAAAAAGTGGAGGACAAGATTAAACGGAGAAAAGTGCATCCAATGTACGTTCACTTTGAAAAAACAGTCTTGCCCTCCACTATACATCAACAATGAAGAGATACCGACTTCCACTCAAGTCAAATACCTAGGACTATACCTTGACAGCAGACTGACGTGGAATCCCCACACAAGACTTAAAAGACAACAACTCAACAGAAGACTTGGACAATTACGCAGACTACTAGGACCAAAATCCGGGTTAACCATCAGCACTAAACTGACCTTATACAAGACTTTACTGCGACCACTTTGGACATACGGTGTGGAACTGTGGGGTTCCGCCAAACCATCCAATATCCAGCGTATCCAGTCCTTCCAATCAAAAGTCCTCAGACAAATCGTCAAAGCTCCTTTTTACGTCTCTAACCTCACTATCCACAAAGACCTCAACGTTCCTTTTGTCCACGAACTGATCCATTTCCGATTCCAAAAATTTCATACCAACCTATCGATCCATCCTAACCCTACCGCTAGAGCCCTCTCCACATATTCCCATCCCGAGAATCCACCACGTCGCCTAAAACGACGATGGCCCCGAGACCTCCTTGCCCCTTAATCTATTAAAATGAGTGCCAGCACTGGCTGGCTTCTCATAGCATGCGACCCCCAGGTGCAGCGCTGGCATCAGTGTTAGTGCTGTGACCGAGCGGTAAACAATATACATTGAGATCACATTTGTATTATGTAAAAAAATTTAAATTTACAAATAAAAAAAAAAAATTAAAAAAAAAATTTAATAATTTTATTTATCTTAAAACAAAAAACACCCAAAAAATTAAATTGTTCCTTTATCATGATTATTAAAATTAATTCAATTCACTAATTTCGTAGTCCGCTTGACCAATTAATATATTACAATTAATTAAGGTTTTTAGTTGAGATAAAAAAGTCAATGGCACGAGCGGGATTCGAACCCACGCTCTTCGGCTAGATACGCCGCTGCTCTACCACTTGAGCTATCGTGACCTCGATCCACTCAGACACTAACTTCCCATCTCAACCGCACCTTTTGAATTTTCCCTCCATTTGCCAGTTTTCAAATGTCGTGTAATCGGATTGGATTCTCGGCGACAAATGAAATGGCCACGGAGAGCTTTAGTGAAGTATACTTTATTTAAATTCATTAAATTCACTAATTTCGTGGTCCGCTTGACCAATTACTGTATTACAATTAATTATATTGCAACTAATGGGAAGTTAATGTCCGAGTGGATCGAGGTCACGATAGCTCAAGTGGTAGAGCAGTGCCGCTGCTAGCCTATCTAGCCGAAGATCGTGGGTTCGAATCCCGCTCGTGCCACTGACTTTTTTATCTTAACTAAAAACCTTAATTAATTGTAATTATAAAAATAATAGAAAAGAAATTACCGCGAACGATAATATGATTGTGTCATAGAAAGTCCTTTAATATTTTGTATGTCCTCCTTTGGCTTTCAAAACTGCATCAGTCCTTCTGGGCATACTTCTCACGAGATTTCTGTACTGTTTTGGATCAATTAGGTCCCATTCAACTTGTGTTTTTTCCCAAAGTTCATCGAAGTTTGAAGCGTCTCCTGCAGCATCGGCAAAGATTTTTTAGTTTTCCCCATAAGTACTCAATTGGGTTAAGGTTAGGTGACTGTGGGGGCCATTCCACGACATTAAAACCACGATCAGCAAGCCACTTTTTGGTCAGCAATGGTTTCTTCACTTCCCTTCGCTCTTAATCCGGCCTCAGCAAACATCTCCGTTTGTTTCAGCACTGACATCCATATTATTATCACGCGGCCTATGCTGAATTTGGACAGCATTGTCAACTGTCCTGATCAAACGGAGCGCGTAGATACAACGCCTTTTGGCCTCGGAAAATTTTGTTTTATGACCACTCCTCTTCTTTTTAAAACTTCTGTCGTAAATTCCGGAAGATCTTTCAGGTTTTGTTATTACCCCAATAATAACAATTTATATTTTTTTGAAATTTATAAGGAAGTCCTTCTCGTAGAGATTTTATAATTTGATCTTTCAAAAATGTTGAAAATGGATTCATACTGTAATTAAACGGAATCGATCATAACCATTTTCAATATGTAAGAAAAATAACTAAATTGATGATACCTGATAACAAATCTGAGACGAATTATTGAATGGTTTTTGCGAAATTTGTAATTAAGTAACCCGAGTCACAAAACTGTTCACATGAAGTCTCGTAATAAACTGGCTCAATCCAAAGGTATAAACATAAATAAAGATTATTAGGGTGAATATTTGTTTACCATCAGTTCAACGAACTCGATCCTATTGCTGTTATCTGGATTAAAAAATACCGGATTTGCAAATTGAGATAATAGAAAATTGTTTACTGATGTGAACAAATATGTGAGTCACTGTATATGTAAGAAGCACAATGAAAGAACACACCAGCTGATAAACACACATATAAAAAATAAATATGACAAATAAAAAAAAGTAGAGCGAAGACAAATAAATTAAAAAAAACAGTAACGCCAAGACTTTTTATAATTAGAGTTTGGAGTCATACAGAGAATGATGTAGTCAACACCCAATAATCATACAGGGCGAGACGAAAAATCGTGCTATCCTACAACCACACACACGATGAAAAGAACAATATTAAAAAAATATAGAAGACGAAACAACAGCGTACCACCACACATATACAGATAAAAATAAATAATTAAAGAAACAGAGAGATAGAGATAGATAGATATATAGATAGATAGATAGATAGATAGATAGAGAGAGAGAAAGAGAGAGAGAGAGAGAGAGAGAGAGAGAGAGAGAGTGAGAAAGAGAAAGAGAGTGAGAGAATCAGAGAGTGGTAAAGAAAAACATACGAAAAAACTGAGTAAGAGATGGAAAGAGAATTGTATAGATACATATACAAAAGTCGACAAACAGAGAAAGAGATTAAGAAATAAAATGAGGGAGAAAGAAAGAGCCAGAGAACGGGAGAAGAGCGAAACGAACAAACCTGCAAACGCAATATTACAACAAAAAGTAAATAATTCATTGTGATAAAAGAATAGCTAGGAAATATTATTTACTAAGTTTTGAAGTATTCCTAAGAGATTAGCTTTTCTGGTCTGGTAGAGCAGAATCATTAGATTTTTTCATATATTTTTTCCCTTTTCATTAAAAGTTTTTTCCAGGGCGGATTTAGTCTTCCTCAGGAAGCAATAACGAAGGAGATTGGGCTGTTGTTCGGCCGTCGCGATACGCCGATCGCACCGATAAGATTTTTGAAGCCCGTTGTCGACTTGATAAGTGAAAATCTTTTGTATCTTCCCAACACGATGTAAACGGGACCGTAATAAAAGAAAAATCAGCGCTGATAATGCGACGAGATAATTTGCCTGGCAGACGGCGCATTGACTCCCGGCTTATGCCCTAATCTCGTTTAATTGAAAATATCGATCAGGCTAATTACCGATGTCTAATGGATGCCGGTTTTGAGCCATCCGATCGGCAGTTATTGAATTCAAATTAAACGCGCATCATCAATTTTGCAAACAAGCCGCTTTCCCGCTCCGCCTTTCGAGCGTAAACGGTTTCCAAAAGTAAAACTTGTTAACCATTGTAAAGCTCCGCTTTTCTCTTCCTTCCTCACAGTTGACGATGTTAAGTAGTCTTTGATAAGTTTCAGGTCGAATACTTCTATCAATTAAATCAATTGTTAGTATACAATGTTTTCATTAAAATACGTGTAACTTTAGCAAACTTAAGTCTATTAAGTGAAGTTTATATTCCAGCCTTTCTTGAAATTCTTGCTTGCATACATTACATTATAGCATTTTCATTCAATTTCATATTTTAAAGAACAATATAAAGTGCAAACAGGGTAAAATTAAACAAAAGAAAAAATGATTTTTTTAGAGAAAAAAAAATTAATATTTATAAAAATTGTGCAAGGACATTTATAACAGGTTGTAACAAAACGAAACTAAGTGTTTAGAATAACGAATAAATAGGTTAAAAAAATAATAATCTTTCTTATTCTGTGTCTCAATTTATCTAAGTAGCTGTATTTCAAAATACCTCTTTATCTCTCTCTCCTTTCTAACTCTCTCTTCCTCTCCTTTCTCATTCTCTCTCTCTCCCATTTCTCTCTCTATCTATCTATCTATCTATTTCTATAATTAGATTAGATTTTATCAATGTACACCTTTCCTCTCTCACTCTCTCTCTCTGTCTCTCTCACTCTCTCTCTCTCTCTCTCTCTGTCTCTCTCTCTCTTTCTCTCTCTCTCTCACTCTCTCTCTCTTTCACTCTCTCTCTCTCTCTCTCTCTCACTCTTCCTCTCTCTTTTTCTCACTCACTAACTCTCTCTAAAAGAAATATATATAAACTAATAAATAAACAAAAAATATAAAAAATAAATAATTTTTTTCTTTTTTTCTTTTGTATTTCGTATTACTTTGTTATTATTATATGATTACATTATATTTATATACATAATGCAATTATATATAATACAATAATATATATAATAATAATGTATATATTTTTACATATTAGTCAAACTTTCATCATTTTTAACCTTTAATGATTAAGTCTTTGTCTAAAAAAGTTAAGAAAATTAATTGCTTTCTCTCTGTATCAATTTATTTCTCTCTCTCTCTCTCTCCCTTTTTTCTATCTCTTTCTCTCCTATCTTTTACCTCTTTCTCTTTCTCAATCTTCCTCTCTCTCTCTCTCTCTCTCTTTCTTTCTCTCACTCGCCTCGCTCACTCTCTCTAAAAGAAATATACATATATATATAAACTAATAAATAAACAAAAAATATAAAAAATAATTTTTTTTTCGTTTTATTTCTTTTTTTATTTTGTATTTCGTATTACTTTGTTATTATTATATGATTACATTATATGTATATACATAATGCAATTATATATAATACAATAATATATATATTTTTACATATTAGTCAAACTTTCATCATTTTTAACCTTTAATGATTAAGTCTTTGTCTAAAAAAGTAAAAAAAAATAATTGCTTTCTCTCTGTATCAATTTATTTCTCTCTCTCCCTTTTTTCTATCTCTTTCTCTCCTATCTTTTACCTCTTCCTTTTTCTCTTTCTCAATCTTCCTCTCTCTCTCTCTCTCTCTCTCTCTCTCTCTCTCTCTCTCTTTCTTTCTTTCACTCTCTTTCTCCGTATTTGACTCTTTCTCTTTTCTTCTTTGTCTCACGCTTTCTCTCTTCCTCTCTCTCATTAACTATAAACCTCCTTTCTCCGTAGTAAACTAATGAAGTACATTTTATGGATCAAGGGCTGAAATTTCAATACCAAATTATCCTCGGATACAGAAAACATCATATAGTGCTACATTACATCTTCCACTTGATTTTGAGCAAATTACTCGTTCTGTTGTTTGAACAACTCTTGGTAATTGTTGAGTTTTTCTTAAAATATAGACTTTTCCGATCATTTTGGTGCGCCCATCCTCGCTATTTGACGACCAAATTTTATTGTAAACCATTTATATACATTTCAAAGGCAGACAAAGTAAAAAATACACTCTTTCTGCCGAAAATCAATGAACAATAAGTTATCTATTTTTTATATTTTGGTTTTTGGTTTTAATATTATAATAATTCATTCCATTTGTAATTTTCAAATAGTTCAATTTACCTGAAGGTGTTTGGAGTGGACGTACCGCACCTCCTCCTCGAGCCTCATCTGTCCTATTTCTTCGTAGAGGTTCTCCTGCGTGCCGTACCTCGTTATGTACGAGTGCCTAGGGTTCTTGCTCGTGCCTGGGACAGGCACTTTTTTCCCTTCGTAGTACGCGTACGAGTACTCGTCCGGTGGGAAAGGCGGTGGCGGAGGAAACCTAAGGTACGCTTGCCGTCGTACGCCGGAAGGGCCAGCGATCACGCACCCCTCGCCATCCATCTGGAAACAAAATAATCATACAATTATTGGATATTTGTTGCTGTTACGGATTTTGCAATATTTTAAAGGCAATTGAATACTGCACAAATCAAGTGTATCATTACTAAGAAAATTCACAACATTCTTTATCATGGAATGACATGTAAGAATATAGAAGAGAAGGGAAGATTATAAGTTTATAAATATGTAGCAGTGCGCAGGTAAATTAATATTTTCCCCTCAGGGGAAATAATAGGAGAACGTAATAAAGATTCCACGGGGGTAAACGAGCCGTTTCGCATACTTGTTTTCCACGAGGGTTTGTTATTCGTGATTCGGCGTGATTGTCGGTCCGAAAACAATTCTGTTTTCAAGTCGAGGCTTCGAGAAGACGGCCGCCGGTTGTTATTCATATTCGCGGTCCGTCGAGCACCGCTGGGACACACGGAGGAATTCCGAAACGGCCCTCTTTACGACTCGCTCTCGTCACGAGGGTCTCGATTTATCGCCGGCCGGGGATCACGCGACACGCTCACTCTCTCTTTCTCACTCGACGTGCACAAAGCCATCTCCAAAATTAAATTACACGACTATACAAACATCGAAGATTTAAATCATCAAACCATACGATACAGACTGGACAGCAGAAACAAAAAAAAACATTGGAAGGCACGAAATTAATATTTCAAAAAAAGATTCAAAAATAAGATCCAATTCAAAATCCCACTCAAGTACACAAAAAATCCTCCAAATTAAACCTAAACATCGATCTCACAGTAAAATACAGTTACTTCAAAAAAACTTATCATCCACTGTTAAATGTAAACCTACAGGTCAAAAATTTTGTACTTGTAGGCGCTCTCTTTAAAGAAGCCCACTTCGCCATTTCGTACACTTATTGCCCTTTGGGTTGCTCTAATTCATTTTTCTCGAAAATGAATGGCTCAGGACAAATTGACAAACATTGACTGAATTTCCTTAATGGATAAACTCTTAATTTATAACAATAAAAATCATCACGTATACTAAGAAAACATATATTGAGTAGGATAAAACTTATATATTTTCATTTCTCTCTCTCTTTCTCTCTCTTTTGCTCATTATCAGGTAATCTCTTTCTTCATTCTCACTTTCTCCCTCATTTCTCTCTATCTCCCTCGTCCCTCTCTCTCTTTTTATTTTGCTCGCTCCTTTTTTATTTAGACTCTCTATATTTTCTTTCTTTCCCTTTTTCTCTGCATTATCAATTTCTGGTCTTCGTTCTTATTCTTTTGCTCGCTTATATACTTTTTACTTAATTACACATACTTACGTACTTTTCCCCTCTTTTTTTTAAATTTTCCTGTCCGGTTTATTCCTTTCATCATTATCATTTTCTTCTTTACGGTACCATTTTGTCGCATTCTCTCATTCTTTTCTCTTTTTTCGCTTTGTTTCTCTACTTGGCTCTCTTTTTCTCTCTGTATCTTTTTCAGTATCCTTTTTTCTTTTTATGCTAAGCCCCCTTTGCTCTCTCTCTCTCTCTCTCTCTCTCTCTCTCTCTCTCTCTCTCTCTCTCTCTCTCTCTTTCTCCCTCTCTCTGTCTCACCCTCTCTCTCTCTCTCCCGCGCTTTATCTCTCTATGTCTATATCTTTCTCGGTCTCGCTTCTTTTTCACTAACTCTTTCTCATCAATTTCTTCCCACCTCCCTCTTGCATTTTCTCACTGTCTCTCCCTCCCTCCCTTTCTCTCTAGCTAACTATCTCTACTTCTTCTCCCTTTCCCCGTTCTTTTCTTTTTCTCTGTCACTCTCTCTCCATTTTATTTTCTATTTCTTGGTTTTTTCTTTCTCATTTGTTCATTCTCACTTTCTCGTTTTCTTTTTCTTTCTCTCGCTCTCTCACCTACATTCATTTTCCAATCAAAATAAATTGAAATAATACACTCAGTTTTTTTTTTCAAATGAAGATCGATATTAAAACAAATCTGCTGTAAAATAAAAATGTATGGTGATGTCGATATGTTCAATTAACATATATTTTGAAAAATATATCAATGTTTTTAACATAAAATATGTTTAATAATTATTTAAAAAAAAAACTTTTTTGCTGGTTAACCACCAATAAAATTGATCACTTTTATTGAATGAATTTGCATTATATATTCTTTTTTCTTATTTTCTTTTTTACATCACTCCTGACCATATTTGAATAAGGTCAGGCTTTATTTGGTTAGCCAGGAAAATAAATAGGCCAGGTCAAACACGAGAGAACATTTCGCTGTATACGGCAAAGTTTTGCATGCAGAGGGATGGTGAGCTACAGGTGGTTCGTAGAGAGTATTCGGACTTTTTCGCCAATCACAAAATTTGTTGTTAGAAGAGTCATACGTGTAATGAATAAAACCAAAAGTATTTAAATCTAATAAGAGGATGCTTAGAATATTCAGTGAGCACGGACGAAAAATATTTTTTCCATTTGATCGATCTGTTCATGAACTTCTCGCTCTTTTCAAAATCATTTCTTGTCTTACGTTAAGTCAAAAAAAGTAATCAAAACTTTTGGGATTGTCTGCGCTGTGGGAGGAAGCGTTAGCCGAGTGGTTTTCATAAAACTTTAACTGGTTTTGTCCTAATTTAATATCTAAATTAGTTTCCAACCTAAAACAGTTTAAATACTATGGGATATAATGTGATAGTGAAATGATTATCGGGCTCTGAGCTCTCTGAAATAACATGGTTCGATAATTACAATCCGGCCAGTCTCCTAGGGCCGGTTTAGCACCGTCTTAAAAAACAATTTTAAACATTAAACATCTTCAAATAAAGAAAAAGATACGTTTCTTCTATAAAAGTAATTTTAATAAACATTGCACGGAAATTATCCAGAGTTGTCGATCACGTGACACAAAAATTTTAATTTAAAAAAAACACACCGAGATGGTTTTGCTCGACATGGAGAATGCATTTGATACGTTTTGGCACAGAGGTATTGTCTATAGATTTATAAAAGACAAATTTTTAAGTTACATTGTCAGAGTAATACATAGCTATGTACAAAAAAGAACATTCAGGGTGACCTACAATGAAATTGTCTCGCCACCATGTAAAATTGCTGCTGGAGTCCCACAAGGTTCGATTCTAAGGCCAGCCTTGTTCAATCTCCTTATGAATGCACTCTCTAGGCTAAAATGTGAAATAGCTATACATAGCAATATACGTTCATCGGGGAGGGGAAGCGCTATTACTGACAAATTGAACCGAAAACTCCATAGAATCGTTAGGTTTTGTCACAGATGGAAACTCAGGTTAAACACAACAAAAACTGAGGCAATTCTATTCACAAAACGAATCCTATACATAAGGAATTTATAATATAATCGTTGACTCAAATGTTCCTTGACGCAATAGTGTTCAATAATTTGGTTTCCACCTCGGTAGCAAATTTAAATTTGGTATCAACACTCGTGTAAAGTTCATTAGATTTCGTGGTCCGATTGGCCAAATAACATCTTTCAATTAATTAATATTTATGTAGAAATTACATCAATTCGGTATAGTCATATAAGTGCCATTTTTACATTTTTCAAAGAAAAAATGTTCTCAACAAAACGATGCGATTTTTGATATCACTATAATCTTAAAAATAAAGATGGTGGATTACACAAGTCAAAAAGAAACTTCAACATAATTTTTTTAATCGGAATAGTTCTGAATGGAATCAATGATTACTGCTAGTCCAAACTCTACAAGCAATTTATTATTTACAAAAAATCCGAACAGCCATTCCAATTTACGATATGATCAATCAATTAATTTTTCTTTCTAAGGACTTGGTTGAGATAAAAAAGTCAGTGTCACGAGCGGGATTCGAACCCACGACCTTGGGCTAAATACGCCGCTGCTCTACCACTTGAGCTATCGTGACTTCGATCCCCTCGGGCACCAACTTCCCATCTCAACCCAACCTTTCGAATCCCCCTTTTGCCATGTTTCAAGTGGTAGAGCAGCGGCGTATTTAGCCCAAGATCGTGGGTTCGAATCCCCCTCTTGACACTGACTTCTTTATCTGAACCAAAACCTTACTTACTCGTGTAAAGGTTGATAAAGGGAAGTGTGCTATCAAGGCTCTGTGCCTTTTAATGTTTAGAGAATCAGGGATGAGCCTCCAAAATAAACTTATTGTACATAAAACCATAGTTAGACCCATGCTGTACATGTATGGAGCTACACAAGTAACACCAATAAAAGTGCCTACGAACAATTCAAAATAAATTTTTAAGGTTAATAACATCCTCTAAAAGAAGTGTTCCTATAAGCCATATGCATGAAATTTTAAACATCTCATACATTAAGGATGATATCAAAAGGTTAACTAACTAGCTCCTTTTTTTATCGTAGCGCTGGGAGAACAAATACGACAATAAAGAATGTAGGAAACCATAACCTCAACAAAATTTGGAAACAGAAGGATCAAACACATTTTAGTATGATTGCTTTATATATTTATTGTATTATTATTTACTAAATTATTTATTTATTAAATTATTAAGGTATTTATTTACCCACTAAATGAGTAATTATATTGTATAAGTCTAGTCAATGATTTTAATTTATAATAATTAGTAATTATTTATTAACTTGCTTCTTTTCTAATTTATTTAAGATATTAATTATTATTAAAGTAAATGTGTTGTTATTAAACTTATCTATTGTAAATGACAAGTCAATGATTTATAATTTATAATACAGGGTGAATTGCTACTCGTGCTACAAACTTCTCCAGTAGATTCTTCACCCTAAAATGAACAAAAAAGTTCATATTGTCCATGGTCCGATTCTCAACCATTTCAGAGTAATTTCGCTTTTTATCGATTTTGAAAGATATCACGTCCTGGCGTCGGAAAATCGTGATATCTTTTAATCTAAACATTTCTCTGAAAATCTAATAGCACCGTTGAAATTCCCGTTAATTTTTCAATAAGAAGATGACGGTGGCAAAATGTTTGGGCTAATTTTTTGTGTTTTATTTCAGCCAGAACT